GTTGTACTGTAAGTGTTTTACTGTTGGTGTTTTACAGGAGGTGTGTTGTACTGTAAGTGTTTTATTGTGGGTGTTTTACAGGAGGTGTGTTGTACTGTAAGTGTTTTACTGTTGGTGTTTTACAGGAGGTGTTCGTGGGATGTGTTTTGTGTTATGAGGCGTCACGTCAGGTAGGTGTGGGCGACTGTCAGACAGCCAGGACGTTTACGTAAACTGTTTGCTGTTAACTCTTTGTGGAGATCGGTGTGTGTTAACTCTTTGTGGAGATCGGTGTGTGTTAACTCTTTGTGGAGATCGGTGTGTGTTAACTCTTTATCTAGCACGTCGGTACAGAGTTTACCGTTATACTGGATTGTCTTGGTCTCGTGTAGTTTTGTGGAGTTTTCAATGCTCTCTGCCCCACCTGGCTCGGTCCTGTCGGAGACTGATGTGACATTCGGAGGTCCCGCCTCTTAGATGACCTACTAGTGTTGATCGGGCCGTAAACCCGTACAGTGACTGCTCTCTGTTTGGTACATGTCAGGAAGATACTCACATCTGAAACTAGGGAACCTTGATGGACAATAATTGGCCGCTTTTAAGCACAAGGGGGCTATCCCGAAAAATGCTGTTTTGAGAAAATGGAAGGTAAAGTTTTTGCCCCTTGTTTAGTTTATTTAAAAGACAAGGGGAGTTTTCTCTATAACCAAACAAATATACACACCAATGAAACCAAACTTCTGCTATAGGTAGGACAATGCCCGCTTTTGGTGTTGATCAACGTTTCTGGAAACCCTCATAATATGAGTTAACCCGCTTGTCCTTAAAAGCGACCAATTGTCTTATGTATGAGACAAGGCAGGGCTGTCTAGAAATAGAGTCATTTCAAATCCTTCTCAAATAAGATCCAAGGCTATTTGAAATACAACTATTTCCATGTGCCATTTTAACAAACGTCATTAGTTTCTCCACACTGTAATCACGCCCCGTATCGAGAGGGTTAATGAATCTCTGACGTCATCAGCTCAATCAGGTCCCGGCTCACGGTTGGCGGGCGATGACCCAGCTCACTTCTGCTCCTCACTTCTCCCGCTCGATACCGCGGGGACTCGATTACTGTTGTATCTTTTCGAAAAACCCCCAAAACAAGCAAATTGTAATGTAAGTGTTCTACGGCCCCACCCGTACACTTTTTGGTGGTTGGCGGGTGCTCTGCTGTGGTTTGCTCCTTCTTTCCTATCAAACATCTGTCGTCCATTTTATATGTCCTCCTTTTCTGTGTCTGCTACTCTCTTGTAACGACTCGAAATCTGACACTCATGTGACCAAACTGTGTTACAAGGGCGGAACAACTCTTTGTCAAACGGGACATTTTCTTCTCTAAATTGTCTCCTTTCACCTCCTTTCCTGATCTCTAGCAATGTTCTGTTGTCTACTTTCGTCTCCTCTTTCTGCCCTCACCCCCTCACCTCCTTTGTCCCCTCCTCTGGGCTCCTGACTCTTTCTGCAGCCTTTCTACTGCTACTCCTTGGCTCCTCCTCACTGCTGTCTTTCAGCCACACACCTGATCTTCTGGTAGGAAAGATCTACACCTAGCCTTCTCGGACAAGGGCGAAAAATCTCGGAGGTCCCGTGTGCAAGTTGCGCACGTTAAAGATCCCTTGGTGGTTCAAAATCGATAAGAGTAGGCTTCGGCTGCCACCCGGGCAAAATTCAAAATTTTCTAACAACTGGAAATGTTTGGTGTATCCCGCGCGCTCATATGACCTTATGCAGTTGCGAGTGTCGAAAAACACTTGACTCTTTATTAAAAAGCAAACTTGTAACTCCCTCCATTACATGATAATCGACTCCGGTATCGTCCGCCGGTGGGTATAGTCCTGGCGCGCGCGAGATCTCCAGTGACCAGTGACCAGTGACCAGTGTCAAGTGTCCGGTGACCAGTGCCCAGGTACAGGTAGAAGTAGAGGCGCGGGATTAACTCCTGCCGGACCAGAAATCCTTCCGCTCTGGCCCGCGGCTTTATCTCCGCGCCGTCCCGCCATTGCCAGACACAGGGCGCTCACTACACCGGGGCGGCG